TGGCTGTTCAGGAAGAAAGAAACGTCAGATCCGAACAAGAAATTCAAGTTCAAGGCTCGTTACGTGGCCATGGGTAATACCCAAATCCATGGTCTCGACTATTTTGATACGTTTGCACCAACCGGCAAACCAACTTCCTTCAGACTCTTCATCGCCTTGGCAGCCATAAATGGCTGGGAGGTTCATCTCATGGATGCGGTCACCGCTTTCCTCAACAGCAATCTGGACGAGGACATCTACGTCGAGCAACCGGAAGGTTTCAAGGTACCCGGAAAAGAACATCTTGTTTGTAAACTGCTGAAATCTCTGTACGGACTAAAACAAGCTCCAAAATGTTGGCAAGACGATGTTGAAGAATTCCTAGTCAGCATTGGTTTCATTCAATGTGAAATTGATCACTGTGTATATATCAGGTGTCAAGATGATCTCTGCACGGCTGTGTACGTTCACGTGGACGATCTGACAATCACCGGCAACGACATCCTCTCCTTCAAGGCTCAGATTTCAGAGCGTTGGGAAATCGAGGATTTGGGTTTAGCCTCAACCGTTGTTGGCATTGAGGTGATCAGAGAAGACCGTCATACTTATTCCATCTGTCAAGCGAAGTACACGTCAAAAGTACTTCAGCGTTTTGATTCTTTAGATCTCAAGCCTGCAAGTACTCCTCTTCCCCCTGGGCTGAAACTGTTTAAGCCTGATTTAGAGGAAATCAACGACTTCGCCAGCAGAAAGCTCCCATACAGAAGCGTTGTGGGCTCACTGATGTACCTCGCACAGTGTACAAGGCCTGACTTGGCCTACTCTGTCGGTATTCTCTCTCAGCATCTTGATTGGCCCGGATATCAACACTGGAACACGGCTACTCACGTACTCAGGTATCTTGCCGGAACAATCAATCTAGGGATTTGTTACTCAGGTTTAGGTGTGGTTCAACCAGTCAAGGGTATCAAGAGTCAGGATTGTCCTCAAGCGCTGTGTGATGCGGACTGGGCTGGAGACAAAGATACTCAAAGGTCAACTACGGGGTACATTTTCATTATAGCTGGTGGTGTGGTGTCTTGGAGAAGCAAGCTTCAACCCACTGTGGCTCTGTCTTAAACAGAGGCTGAATATCGTGCGATCACGGAAGCTGGGCATGAACTTTTGTGGCTTAGGACAATGCTGAGTAAACTTGGATACGAAGACTCTAACCCAACGGTGCTGCAAAGTGACAATATGGGCGCTATTCACCTAATAAACAAGACTGTGTTCCACGCCAGGACTAAACACATTGAGATCCACTACCACTGGATCAGAGAGGTAGTCAAGGCTGGAAAACTCACGGTGCAACACTGTCCAACTCATTTAATGACAGCAGATCTACTTACCAAGTCACTAGGCACTTCTCAATTCACTCATCTCAGAAAGTTATTAGGTCTCAAAGCTATCTTGTGCTGAACTTGAGGGGGCGTGTTATGATATTATTGAGGCAAGGTCAAGTCCATCACGAGAGTGAGTTATCATCATGGGCAAACGGCTGAGTTGGTAGTTGAACTGTTTCAGGTTGTTCCTCTTTGGTGAAAGGATGGTTGTGATGGTAGTGTTTTGATTACCCTTTTGGGAAACGGGTGTCTAGGAGGAGTACCTCTTTTGGATTAGTGGCATGTTCATTCATCTAGTTTTGGTTTCTTGTATTGTTGCCCCTTGCTTCAGGGTTTTTGTGTGCGCGTCTAGTTTTTCTCTTATATACTCACTGTCCCTCGAGCTCCCGGTTCCTCCCTCATCGTGTGGAACCTGGAAGCTTAGAGTGATTCTATTCTTTCATTCTTGTATTTGTGATCTTTTCTCCTTTTTATTCATGGACAGGTACACACAGGTCTCTACAGGCCTCCCTACCACTTATTTTTGACCTGCTTACTCGCAGGTAAGGCGTAGACTTCATCCGCCCTCTTTTCAACTTCTGAGTTTCTTTGAGTCCTCTCGAAACTCATCAATACCTGTCTGTCCAGGTTTTTGCGCGTTGATACTGTCAATCAACGTCGCGTCATTTCACTTTAGACCCAAGAGATAATTGGACAGGGTCTTCGAACCAATGTCGTGATCGGTCAGTTCACCTTCTACCCGTCCCGCCCACCAACAGAAATTGTAGATGTCGATTGGCGCGGCTGGTAACACGAAAGGAATCGGATGCGAGTTGTCCCAGAAGTTGAGAAACTTCTTTACAGCGCCGTTGTAGCTTTTCAACGTGCTTTCCTTCCAACCGTGCAGTAGGTGTAACTGGAGTGGACTGGGCTGGGATGGTGGCTCGACTCCTGACAGAAACGCCGTCAGGGTATTCAAGCGTAAAGTCGAGGACATGATGAAGAGCACAAACGACGAAACAAAGAAGGATTCGTAATCCTACACACGAACCAAGAGGGGTAATGCTCGCTAAAAAGGTAAGTACCTTATTCTTGTGCGCAAGACACGACAACTTTTATTACATTTGGCAAGGACAGAACGTTATCAAACAACGCGATGGGCGTAGCGAGTTTGAAAGATTCACGATTTAGTGGAAATAAGAATGCAGATCATAATACACAACGAGCTAGTTGAACAGGGAACATGTGACTACTGGGAACAGAACTCCTGATAGGTCTAAAGGCATGTCTAAAGTGATCAAATCTTTAAGATCATGTTCCTTCCTCTCGCCCGAGACCAGATCAATTCCTCTATCGCCTTGCAAAAGTTTATCGGCCAAGTTATCATCTGATATTACCCTCTTTGGGTATAGGTCGATTTGGTGCTCAATCAAGATTTGTTGGATAATCTTCCACTCACTGTTCACCTCTTTGTCCCTTGACTTGCGTTTTTCTACAGCCGCTTGGCTGGTAGTATTATCTGTCCATACTACCAAGTTCCTCCCGCGACCATAGCCTAATTTAATGGCCATCAAGAGACCCATACAAATCGCCACAGTCTCCAGACATGCTATGGTACGTGTATTCTTCCCGGAGTGACGCCAACCCGATATTGCTTCGAATTGAATCCACTTGACTCCAATCAGGATTCCTACGCCCCAATCAGATGCGTCCCCAACCCATCCAATTTTGACAGGGTCGGGTGTGGCAATCAACCGTAAATTCTTGAAGGATTTCAATGTTGTTAGCCAAAAGGAAACATCTTCTAATATGTCTTCTGGCAAGTGTTGTTTAGCTTGATGGTGCACCCATCTTGCTTTCCACCCATATAGGCTACAGAGATAGCACCTTAGTTGTGGTAGTAAATAAGATACGTGACATAGCCATCCTACAAACACATCGACTTGGTTGTAGTTCCACGAAGCTGACGGTTTTAAGAACTCTTCAATTTGTTGAATCCTAATTGCTAATATCTCCTTGGTCAGCTTCACCGTTTTGTTGAAGCCGTTCCATACGAAACCGATAAATTTTTGTTCATATTGGAATTTTGAACACTTCTTTTTGTTCGTTAAGACACCTAATTGCTGAGATCTCTTAACTATATCAGCCATGTCAGTTGATGACCCCAATCTCTTCACGAAGAGATTATCATCAACCCAACGAAACACTGTGACCAAATCGAATTCAGCTATCATGATTCTTTTCCAAGCGTCTGCCGGTCGACCGAAAGAACCGATCCAGCAACGCCTCCAAAAGTTATTCTGGTGTCTAAGTAAAGCTGTCCATTTGTGCTTAACACCATTAAGTACTTCCATTGTTCCATTAACGTCGGGATTTGGCGATACACCTTTTCCCAGTCAAACAAAGCTAGTAGAAATAACTCTTTTGAAAGTTTGAAAAATTTTGCGACCTTGTTGAAATCATCCCAGGTCGTCTTAAAATCATCCACATTAACAAATGAGTTAACCGATTTAATAAGTGGGTCGTTCTTAGGATAAGATAAATCGTTAATAGGCCTTGTTGAACTATTGCCGTTTGCCACGGCCCCAAGAGGGTTTGTTCTAAAGAATGAGAACACTTTTGAAACCTCTTCATGAGTGTAGGGACCAAACATGCGCCTTTTTGACAATTCTTCGTTCATGCTCTTCACGATCTTCTCCGCTGCTAGCTCAGATGAAGAATGATTGCTGGGAGTATAGAAAGGAAGGTCCAACACCTTGTGATTTGGTATACCTTGGTCAAAACCAAATTCAAATCCGTGCAACACATCCGCGAATTCGTCTATCAGTCTCGCCTGTCTAAGTGCTTTCCTCCACTCTGGGATATTCATCTCACAACTAATGCTTGTTGGCCAGTTCTTTGGTATAATCTGGATCTGTGAGACTCTCTTTTCTGGATGACTCCTTGTAATGTTTCTCACTGGATGCTCAATATAGTTTCTGATTATATTTCTAAGAAAAAAACACAACCAAATTAGAACCAAAACAACATCACAAGCAAAGGAAAACAATTTCAACATCAATATCATGATAAGGATCAATAGAAAGAAATATCTAGGATTTGTTACAATCAAATGTAAAGTTATTAACATGCCAACTGAGATGTAATTAAGCCACATACAATGGTTGTACATGAACTAAAATAAATCATCGCAGGAAAATTAGAGCAAAACTCGAAATCAGAAAAGAGTCATAACCTACGATTTACTACCGCTAGCTACCGGCGCATCATTCGTTTCCCCTTCCTAACATAATTTGGATCGAAGTGATTACCATGATAACCCTTCCTCTTCTTTCCGTCAGGTTGAACTTTTGTAGCATTTGGAAGTTGATTATTATAGGAGTTTTGGTTGTTTACGAATGGGACATTCTTGTTCACTGCTTGGGAATTGTAATTGTTGTTATTAATGAAACTTGAATTGCTATTGTAAGATGAGTTTCTGGAGATTGAATGTTGATTCTTTGGAGCACCTGTGTTGTGATCCCAATCGAATCTCTCACCACCTTCCGCATAAGGATTATCCTTGAAAGTTAATTCATCACATTTCCTTGCCTTAGGGAAACATATTTCTTTAATGTCGCTTCTGAATTTTGATATGTCAATTGGACCATTTGTTCCATCTTAATAGATCACTTTCTCAGTAAACAACAAAGATCTTAATTTTAAATCGTATCTGAAAGCAACCATCCAACACTCGGTCTCTCTAATGTTCTCTACGTTTTCTTTATGTAACCCCAACCATTCTGCTAATTTAACATATTTAAATTTATAACAAATAGCTTTTATAAAATTACGATAATTAATTGTCCAAGCCATATAAGTTTGAGAGAATTCATGAGGGTACGGTAAGCCTGAGTAAAGGTTTTGAGCTTTAGTCGATTCATCGCTTTTAACTTTCTTCTCTGCATGGTACTGCCAAGCTTCTTCTTGCCAGTCTTCGTTGAATATCGTTAAAGGTACTGGTAATTTCAACTCTTTGATGTTCTTCTTGAAGAAAGGGGTTAAGCCTACATTACTATCTGTACCGGTTGATGCTCCTTCTTTGAAGGTGAAACCATTTTCTACGACTTGCTCATTTGATATTCATGATATTAATGATTTCTTCGGTATGAACAACGCTTCACTAGGTTTCAACAAGTTCTTGTCTATCTTCGCAATCTCTTCAATGGATGGTGATCTAGACAAAGATTTAGAGGACATTGTGGATTTCATCTGCTCGTGAATTCAAAATGAGAAAGCTGCTTCTTCTTTATTCTCTGCTAATATCGCAGCTGTTGCCTTATCCATGGTCATGTCTAGGTCTTTCATCTGCTGGGTTACTATGATCGATGGCGTTAGTGGAGCACCTATTTAAAAACCAAAAGTGACAGTTGTTAATAATGGTTATAATAAAATATCAATTATGACATAATAATTATATTACCCGGTATAACAGTTTGTGGGTTACTACCTAACAACTGAGTATAACTATTGTCTATTTGGATTCTTCCTTTTCCCTTCTCGATCGGACCATCTACAGTCGAAGATGACGAGATTGAAGTATCTTTCGATGTTTTGTTCTTATCTTTATCAGAATTCTCTTGAGCCGAATTGCCTATAACTGAATTCATTGAAGAGAGCTTTCTAAGTTCTAACTTTTTATCATAGGAAATATTGTAAACACAACTTACCCGTTGTGTCAATATCCTTTTCCTTTAGCTGAACATTATCACCTGTTGAGACATTGTTGGTATTAACCTGATTGTCTTTTGTAGAGGTGGTTTCGATGTTATTGGCATTAGCCTGGTCATCTGAGGTAGCCTCACTGGTGTTCTTCTTATTGGCATCGATTGTTGTTAATAAGTTGACAACATCTTGTCCTTCCTTACTTGATGGGGTTTTCCTCTTCGACATCTTGAGCTTTCGAGTAATAACGATGAAATTAAAAACTAAAACTAAATTTGATATGATATTAACAAAATATCTAATTTGAACACAAAAAAGAAGTCTTGAGGACTTTGGAGAGAAAGCCGCGCTAGGCGAGAAAGACACAAAACACGGGACAGGTGATGGAGGGGAAAGATGAGAAGGAAGATTCGAATGTGAGAACAGGAGGGAACTCTTGGGGAGTGAGTCTATAAGACTACACCACGGGGCAATTGAGCTCGCCGTTTGATGGTCGAGAAAGACCGCCGATAGACCAGATTCGCTGGGTGGTGGCTGGCCGCCAAAAACCGGTCAGTGGAATGGCCGTCTTTTGGCTGGTCTTCGCTGGCGGCCGTGAGCTGGCCAAAAGACGGCCGTGAGCCGATCAAGCGGCCAGCTTCGAGCCAATCGAGATGATCCGCGTGGGCTCTTGATCGATCAATCGACTAGCTGTCTGCTGGTCAGTTGATGGTCTGTAGCCGGTATTTGACCATTATTGTTCTGCTGGCTCAGATCCAGTCGCTTCTTGACTGGCTTTTAGTTTTGATTGATACCATTGAATTGCAATTTATGTACATATTTTATTGTTTATGCGATACAAAAAAGATACATATGTAATAGAATGAAACAAAGATAATCTGAAAGGATAACAATATGGATGATGTTGATGTGTAGAACGTAATTTAAGTATCTGCAGAGGGGTGTTGAGGTAAGGCAGCAATAGCTGCATCAACTTGTGATTCAGTTGGAAGCTTGAAGTCAGTTAAATTTAATTTTCTTAAATCTTCAGCGGTGTGTTGGCCATCAAAAAGTCGTTTGTCTTCTTCGATGACAAGCTTGTAGAAGCTGTTGGACCAATATGAAATGAGTGTCATTAAAATCAATAAGAAATTGAAAACGGATCACTCACGCTTCGGTAAAACGAGGTCCTTTTGATCGTAATCGGGCGAGTTGACTATCGGTATTCTTCCAGATATGGGAACTAGCTTTTCCTTCAGTAGAGAGCTCAAGAAACACAGATTCCATTCGCTGAAAATGAAGGCAAGCCATTAATGAAAAAACTACACTGTATGCACATCAGACTAAGTCAAAGATGACATACCAGATAGGCATAGCGAGACTTCTTGGGCAGGTCAGCTTGGTGTAAAACTTCGGTGTCCGTAGTGGTTCGTTTTCCAGGACCGGGAAAGTCAGCCATCTGTAAGTAATTTAGATTGAATTTAACAACATTTCAATCTACAGAGGATGAGAAAAAGGTCCTGACCAATACGAGCAGATCGCTCAGCGTTGGAAGCGCATTCGAAGTTGAGCCCCATTTGGGGTGAGCGTTACGGAGAAGCTACAAGGATGAAACAGCTGTTGAGTAAGATTCACATTGGATTCGTTGGTTAAAGAAAATATACATACAATGTGATGAAGATTTTCACGACCGATTTTACACTTTTTCTTGATCAAAGCAATGACATCTTTATGAAACCGAGTATGAGCTCCAGCACGGACTTCTGGTAAGTTTATGTCCTTCCAGCCTGGGTCCTGTGCTCTAACCCGATCCTGAGAGTTGCATTCAAGGAATGATTAGGCTCAGTACAGAAGATTGCAGCAGTAAGTGAAAAGGAGGAGAAAAATGACTTACAATCACACGTTCCTCAAGAGAATGAGTGAGGGTTCCTTTCTGGCCTTTTATGTTAAGGATGCCCTCTGTATCGGTGTATGCTTGGAGGTAGGAAGCACCTATAAAATCAAAGACCGCATCGACCACCAATTTCTACATTGATCATCGAGACAAGTTAGATTAACAAGTGTAGTATAGTAGATTGAAAGATGAACTTACTGTGAGTGCCTCCGAAGGTTTCCAAGGTGGAAGAGGAGCAGTTAAAGTTGGAGTTGGATTTGTATTTGTTGTGTTGTTGGAGTTTGATGGATTTTGGGATAATGAAAGTTGTTCAATTTGGCGAGCAAGATTCTGATAACACTGAGCTGTAAAGACAGTCAGAGCAATCAAGCGAGAATCATCACCCATTCTCTGATGATTTACACAAATGATGAAGATCAGTGAGTGCTTGAACTGGGTGGAAGTCAAAAAAAGAAGTCAAGAAGATGAATAAAAGATGTAAGAAGTGCTTACATTGCTGACCACACGAGTGTCTTCAAGGATTTCAGGATCCAATCCAGCTTGTGATGCAAGCGTATCAAAAACAGGGATTGCAGTTGATAAGGTTGGACCAGGATCATATTGATTTCCGAGGTTTCCGAGGTTTGATCGTGGAGGGAGAAATCCAGAAAGATCAGGATTGGGTCCAAGATCAAAATCCCGTTGATTGGGTTGGGTCATTTCATCATCTGTGAATGATGTGGATTGCTGCTGCTGGTCAAGTGATCCGATACCTCTGTTGGGATTAGGATGTCGATTTGGTAAAGTGGGACCTCTATGTCCTCCTTGATTGTTGGAGTTGGAAAAGCTGGCTCGATTAGACCCATTGTTGGAGTGAGATTGTTGACTTCCACGGGTTGGATACAGACTTAGACCTCCATGAAACATTGATAAAAGAGTCTTGGGTGAAGTGAAGAAAAATATCGGGGATGGACATCAATCAGCACTGACTTTACATTATATTGTCATCACCCTGTGACATCCCACAGTGACACACAAGTCATCTTACAAAAACTCCCTTCTTACGAATAAAATTGGCACAGGGAGATTATGATATCAAAAGCAAGAAGTTGTTCAATAAAGATGGATTGCTTGAACCAAAAAATATCAATAGACTAATTACAATAATAAAACAACGAGATATCACTTGTTCTTTTTCTTTTGCTTTTCTTCCTTCCACTTCTGCAATCCAGCGTCAATGGCTTGACTCCACTGTTCTGGATTGACTGCTGCCACATCTATAGCAGATAACTTCCGGTGAAGTTCCGCTGAGTACAGAGACGCTGAGTTCAGGATATAGGATGGGTTTTGATTGTGAATAATCTGATGCAGTGGGATGGTTGTGTCTTGACGTTCCACTTGTTTGAATCGTGTGGAACCTATTGCGCACCCAGCGTCATGACAGTTATGCTGGACATTTAGCACTGTCTTGAGCTCCTTTCATCAAAAATATTTTGAAAAATGAGAATTGATGGACTTGAGTGGTTTAGTTCAAGTGAATTGACCTACTTTTGGCTCGAGAAAAACTGAAGTATTGCTTTTGACAATCTCACACATGGAATAAAACGGATGGATGTCTTTTCGATGACATTGTTTCATCTCAATCACACAAGCTGAGGGTTCCTTTCCTGCAGGCTTCCACATACTCGCAACTGATGCAATGAGTTCGTCAGATGATTGATTGCCTGGTTTAACCTGAAGAATGACATTGTCAATTAGACAGATAGCATCTGAAGGTACAAAAATTTTACAAACCCATAGAAAAGCACCGTCTTCAACCTTCTGGTCATTAGGTAAGATCAGCTGAGTAACACGCTCCCACTTGTCATTTTCATGACTTCCAGACAGGAATGTTGGAAGACCATCAGGCACGGTCTCAGGATTTTCGTTGCGTTGAACTGATTGGAGTCGAAATGATAGATGTGAGCATTTACATCTATCTCTGTCATAATTCAAAATTAAAGAATTAAAATACCTTTCACGCGAAAGCTTTTCTTCATGTTCCATGATGTATTCATGCCAAGCGAATGTTGTAGACGTTTGTTTTTTGCAAACAACTCCAAAACTTTATCCCCAGCTGAAACACGTTGATTGAGCTTTGGATCAAACCACGTCCCTCCCGAGATAATGTGAAGAATTAATAGATAGCTGTTGAAAGCATCTGCAATATCGCGTCCAGGTGCCTGCCGGTTTGAGTGAATTGAAGCCGCTCGTAAAACAGCATTAAAGCTTTCGAAAATCTCAGTAGCAAAGAGACATGAAGGTCCAAACCATTTGATTGAATGAGGTAAATGTGTGAGCATATGAAATTTTGGTTTATTTGTCCAGCGCGCATTTGATCCAACAAGACAGACTAGTAAGTTGTCAACTGCATTTTGGAGTTCAATCAAGTATTGGTCAATATCCGAAATCTTGTTTTGGAAAATGAATGAGGCCAAATGAATAAGAGCGCTCCAAAAATCTCGTTTTTCTTTACCGATTTCCTCAAACAGCACAAAGGGGATAGCTTGCATGATTATTCGATACTCCTTTCCAACAAGACTTTTATAATATTTGATCAATGTTTCCGGGATAATCGGTGGTATATTCAAGCCTTTTGTATCAAAAGATTCCCATCGAGCGGATATAGCAGAGTGCCGAGTTGTACCGGGCTTGAGAGGCGAGAGCTCGGTCATCAATTCTTGCCACGGATACTTCGCCACTCCCAAAAGATAGACATGAAGTGCCTCAACTGGTGTATCGTGGTGCCCGTTGAAACCTACATAAGATTTGGTTCAATTTAGCATTCATAGAAATTAGAATAAAGGAAGTAATTCATTACCGGGTAGCCGAAGGAATGGATTATAAACCCTTGAGCCTAGTTCTAAATCGAGATCTTGCCAAAATGCATGAGCATCGTTAGGACTCTTGGTTTCAAAGACTTGTACAACTTTATTCATCAACTTTTCATTCAGCGTATCACGAATCCCATGTAAACGACGAGCTTTTGTAATTTGATCTTTTGCACGTAAATCACTACCTATTTTCCAGATTTCTGCGGTTAAGGATTGTGTCTCCTTCCAATCACGAAATGCAAGAGAGTGCTGTAAAGTTTGAAACAAAGATTAGTTGATTGTGAACTGTCTTTGGTAAGAAATAATCGTTTCAACAATTCACGCACATGCTCAAAATTCTCATCAAGACCTACAAATTTTTGAACATAAGACGTAGTTGTCTTTTTGTCTTTGGTATCCACTCGAAGATTGCATATTCGACATGGGGTAAGAGTGATTCCCGGATTGATACAATTACATATTTCGGCGTGCATCGGCGAATCTCCAAGGTAGCATAGTACTACAACCATTACTAAAACCTCAGCGTCAACTTCTCCATCGTATGCTGAGAAGCCTTCAGTCGCAAGAGCACTATAAAGATGATGATAGAAAATTTCAAAATTCTATTTCAAGAAATAATCAAATTTAAAATAACCAAACTCACGTAAGCTCATCAACAATCGGTTCACCAAGTTCAAGTGCACTTGCAACATTTGAAGTAGCAGCATAATGAATATTATAATCTTGATTTGATAACTTTGTTGGTAAACCACTCAGAGTATAATAGAACGACATATGACAGTTATACTTTTTTGATTTATTTCCTGATGTATCGTCTGAGTATAAGGTGATGGGGATGTGGCGAATCAATCTCCCGTTATCCTTCTTTCTCCATGGATTTTCAATCGGAATTGTTAGGAGTCCATCGGGGCTTGATTCTAGAAAGATAGAAAAAACAAATTATAATTTGTCCTGTTCAACAAAGAGCTTTAGAAGACTCACGATACATAAAAGGTCCACATATATCCTTAAGCTTGATGTGATTTGGACCCGGTAACTCTATTGAAGCAAGTGGACGCCAGAAATCATTCACATTGATAGTAAAAAGTAATGTAGAGGAGAATTCGGGCTCGGCGTAAATAGCAATATCAAGACCTCGACCGTCGATTTTTTTCACGATTGTTGCCTTCAAACATTTTGAAAAATAATTATCACCATCTTTATAAAAGAAGATTGGAACAAAGAGTTCGAACTCGGCTGAAGAAAGAAGTTGAAGTGGTTCATAGATATAGAAATGACCACGTCGAGTTTCAATCATTGGTGTACGATATTCTTTTTTGAAGCCTTCTCTCCACTTCTTAGATTGTGATAGTCGATTTATTGGGGTGTTTGTCGCAAGCTCAGGAATTGTAATTAAATGAGGTCTGACGTGCGGATTTGCCAAGTTCTATCAAACATGAATTTATTCAATCAGTACCAAGTTTTTCTGAAACATCCAAACTGAAATACTCACCAGAGTAATTGCTTCTTTGATTGGTAACACAAAGCACGGATTTCCTAGCGCACTCTGTGTCTTTGTAACTGTCAACCCCATCTTATTTTTTAGATCCTTTCTCAAGTTACGTAGCGTGGCCCAGACGGGTAGATTGATGTGACATATAGCAAAGATATCTCTAATCTTGTTGTATTGCTCACGGGACATCACATGACGAGTAGTGCCTAGAAGTAGCATCCCAATCAGATTCTTTGAATAATTTATAGAATGTGTCAGTGAAACTAAAAATGTAGAGTGAATGCTGATGTGAAAGTGATGTCAATGAGGTCTTTGAACATACCTCCTTCTTCTTAAAAGGATACCATTCATCGGATTCATAATCATCCTGTTCTCTATCATCTTTTTCATACTCGACTTCATCTTCCTGTTCCTCCAGTCCTGTATCATCACCAGCTAAGCCATGATTAATATCATCCTCATCTGGACCGAGTCCGATATTGTAAAGAGCATCCCAGATCAAGTCTGGCCTTTCTTCAACAACAGACTCGACTTCAATTTCAACATCAGCTGGGTTCTCAAAGAGACCCGAGTCATCTTGATCCCATATCGAGATTGAATTTGAGCGGGTGGGTGGAGGTGCTTCATCCTCAGGTGGAAATTGTTCAGTGTCGTTATCACTGGTCCAATCCATTGCTCCAGCGACGCCAGATCCCGATATCGTACTAGAAAGAGCCGGATTCAAACTCGTCATCCCCGCTTGACGCTCCAGAAACTTGGCCACCATGGCTTTGTGGTGTGGCCGCTTAGCATGGTCTTCGTAGGATTTAAAACTTTTTCGTGCACAAACTATACATCTGTACTCTGGCTTCTTAGGGTCTTCGGACACGTCTTCAAAGTCTATAAAAAAGAAAAAAATCAGCCTCTGTACTTGTCTAAAATAGAAGTCGAAGACAACAAGACCTACATTCAGCTACAATTGGGTACTGGTGTGGGGCAGACATCACAATGATATAGTAAGATGATGATCGATCAAAATCGAAGAAAAATGCTCAAAGAGGATACTTCAAGTCGTTTCAAGATAGGATATTAGATTTTTCTCGATGCCAAGTCCAAAGGGCTCACAGTAAGTTTGAACCCTTTCCCCTCTGTATCTTTCCTGTCAAACTTTGCTGACGTTCTGGCAGCTGTTCCATTTTTATTACTCGTCCTCCAAAAGACAAACTGAAGCCAGGTTTGAATTTTTACGCACAAGGCCGAAATCAAGCTCTCTTTGTGCTCATCACCTGGAGTAAAGTTGATACCGATGTATATCAATTACGGCGGATTTAATGAGCCAGGTCATGTCTCGAGGTGACCATGGCTTCCATCATCAATTGATGATGGAAAGATTCCATGGCCATGGAGTCTGGCCATTGGAATCGATACCGAGCTTTCGGCCGTCTGTTTGACCGTCTCAAGGCCAGCTTTTTGAACGTTTCGAAAGCTGGCCGAAAGCTCGGTTTTGGGCTATCTTTTGACAGCCATAAGGCTGATCGATTTACCGCCACATCGACCAGCCAAACGACTGGCTTTTTCCAAGCCGAAAGCTCAGGTTTCGGCCAGAAATCAGCCGGTCTCACCCGACCGTCAAGATCTGACCGAAACTTCAGCTTTCGGCCAGCGTTTGACCGAATTTCAGACACGACGACTTTTCAGCTCAGCTTTTGGCTCTTCGATTGCCCCGTGGTGTAAGACCTCGAGGTCCTGTCTCCATTAGATCCTGCATGATCTTTCCCAAAGCTGAGACAACGGTTCTTGGCATGATCAGGTCAGACGCGTGATATACCAATCATGACTGGCTGCTAAGCCAAGCCCGTTGACCTCAGACGCGTGGTAGATGGCCCCGCTAGTCCATGGACACGGGCAACCTACCTCGTGCCTCGTCCGGGTGCCATATCAAACATACAAGGATCAATTACCCTGTCCAAGACGAGCTTTCAGGAAATGAATGTCCACTTGACCTTCCGAGCCAACTGTTAGGGCGTCTTCGATCACTTAGTTGAGTTTGATAGTGACCAAGCTATGATAGCTCGCATGGTTTTTGACTAACACCATTGAGCACAAATTATTGAGAATATTTATTGATGTCGTCCTGATGCCTATTGTCGATAGGGAGACGTGCTTTGAGGCAACCACCCCGACTGAAAGGCCTTTGTGAGCCACGGAACTCAATCTGGCACCTCAGTTGAGAGTCTGCGCAATGAAGTCCATCATCCTGGATCTTTGCCTACCAACTCTCGATGACAGCTCCCATGATTTCAACAGCTTGCGCAAATCACGGCCAATCAGTAATTATGTGCATGTCTAAACTGTGAACAAAGCAAGTTGGGAGGCTGGTCAGCGGTGAGTTTGATGATTGACCACCTCTGAAGGGCTTCCTTTTGCCTATAAAGGGCTCTGGTTGAGACTCAAAACCCACATCTCCGCCAATCGTCTTCTGATATTACTTCTCTGGAAATGAACCTGGAGGTCATCGAGTTATCAAAACATCAAATTATGAAGTAATTCAATATCTTGTCACTCACTCTTACGCTCAATCACTCTGTCATATGATTTTTCTTTAGACACCCTTTGTATCCTCCAAGATAAAATCAGGATATCCTAAATTTATTCCTCAATACAATATCCTCACTAAGGAACTCCAAAAACCCAACACGTATTTATATGGTCAGTTTTCAAGAGTTTTACAAATCAATTCCCGGGAGTGCTAATACTATACCAACGTGTACTAGAGGGGAACTGCAGAAGTGTCACAACAACACTAACACCGCGGGAAGCATTATGTCCGAGACCCAATTGAGCAAAGTTGCGGTGTCCGAGTTCACAATAAGTCTCAAATTTGGATTGAAACCTATTAAAATCCAAGGTCCCCCCCTTGCCTTTAATAGGTTTCAATCCAAAAATTGAGACTTATTGCGGACTCGGACACCGCAACTTTGCTCAATCGGGTCTCGGACATAATGATTCCCGCGGTGTAATTACCCTATATGCTATGATGACGGTAAATAAATGACAACTATGCAGTGCTTATCTGTGGTCAAACTTGCAGACTTTCAATCTCCTCTTTGTCTCACTTGACTTTATTCCTTGCTATTCATTTTTCTCTTACTTTGTTTCCCACTTATCTTTCTTCTTGGATAGATGTGTCATGTTTAATTTCATTGATCATTGCTGTGATTGACCAACTCCCGTGGCGCGGGACACTTGTCACCTATTGCTTCCTCATCATGTTCCTTGTTATGTTGGGCTCCCTATTGCACAAATCGCCGTTTTACTTCGTCTCGCGTTTATCTCCATTTCACCCCATTTTGTTTTCAGACTGGACACATTCATCACCACAGAAAACTAAGGGCGGATTTGGTACAAATCAGATTCACAGCAATCATAGATTTACATAGTAAACCAAAGACATTCCACAACATCCCCATCAGTCAATAACAATTACCAAGGATTACCAACAACTATTATTTAATGATTTGTGTTGTACCGAGCTGTTCTGGCGCTATAGTTGAGCCTCGTAGCCAGACCTTGAGATGTGTCATGGAACTAGACAACTTGTGCAGAGGAAACTGGAGAAATTAAAAAATGGAAAAATGGAAACACGAAAGAAAAATGCCAAGAAAATGACAAAATCGAGGAATTCAAGAACATGCTGGTGCAATTTGGAGAGCATGTTAGTATCTTGATCGTATCACGTGAGGGTACGTAGAAGGAATTTTTAGGATAAAAGGGTTGAAAAAATACATGGTCATTCGGCATCAAGGTACCAAGAGACTTTGCTAAGTTTACATTTTTTGTTTCGATTGATTTTGGGTTCTGCTGATGCGAAGGATTAATTCATACTGTGGTTCACTTGTTTGTCTTCTCTCAGACTTCGGCAATAATGTGACTGAAAGTGACTGAAGCATTCAAGCTTACTCACTTATCGATCCCACATTGTATTGAAATACCTACAATTACAATGTTGTCGTGATGTGAATGATAAGCCTAGACTTGGCCTTGAGAATTTCTCCAAGACCGACCCCCAAGAGAATATTGGGCCTCAAACTTATTTAAGTCCCACCTAGTCCCACGGTGCTTCTAGCATGTGCGCTCGCTTGAGTACTTAAGTTTACTTGGCGAGTGGCACCTCATGAGCCATGACTCATATTGTTCAAACCTGAGGTTTTTGAATCTGTTCAAACCTGTTCAAACTTGAGGAACACTCACACTATGTAAGTAAGTTCAAGTCCCGCGTGAGTTTGCATAGAAATGTGTCACGATGGCTTAGGGTCCGGACTGTCAAAGAGTAAGAGGAGTCTGACGGAAGCCGAGGTCGCAGGCTGCTCAGAGGTACATAAGTTTGATGATTGACGGCCTCCGACAGACTGAAGCCTAAGGGCTTCCTGTTTCCTATAAAAAGGGCTCCGATTGAGGCCTGAAATCCGCATAATCAAATTATGTCACTTCTTCGCAAATAAACTCAAAACTCAACTTTGTAAGTATCACCGTGTTATTTCACCCACTCTTACAATCAATCACTTACCCTGACCTGCGATATTTCTCTGGCCCCCTTTTATTTCCTCTAGAATAAGCTTGTCACTTGATATTTCCTCACAAAGCAACTTCGATAAACCAAAACATATAAAGATGGTCAGTTTTCAGAAATTTCACCAAACATTTTTGATGAGGCGCAAATATTGACGTGAAACTATGATGTTGAGTCGTCCTAGATGGCTGAAAATTGTCACAGACTCCTCTTGGTATCTCTGGTCTTCCTCGCAATGATCGTACCAAATATAAAAGGGGAAATGCCAACGCCTGGCGTAGCCTACTGCCAGAACCGGCAGGGTGTCCCAAATCCACCATGCACTGTTGCAGGCTCCACTGTGACATGCTACGTTGGCGAATTGATACCAGTATGTTCTGCAGGGGAGTTAAGAACATGTAATAGCAGCAATAATAAACCTGTATGTGGGTAGATTGGGATTTCGGATTTCGACTCAGAATTCTCAGACACCAGCTGAGAATATACCTGAATCACGCACAACACTGTTAGCCCAATGTGCGATGAATAAGCAGTTATAGGATCTTTTTCGTAGTAATTGTCAAATGCAGGATAATAACTTGTTTTCATGTATCATGTTCGCGTTATTCTTTTATCTTTCGCGTCAATCGCATTGTCATCTTCGATACCTTCATGTTGAATGTTCAATGCGATGACATACACTTCATGCTCGCACCTGATGTCCCGAAGCCTTGTAGCGCCACGACTTCGAGAATGGCGAGGCCTAGGGCATGCATCACGCCCTGGCCCACGCCCTGGGTCCCTGCAGAGCACCTCAGGGCTATTGATTCAACTGATAAAAAGAAGGCTTTGATAAGCTACTTCTGCACAACCAACACAATCTAAGTAAAGGTCTTCTGACTTACAACACCAAATAAGTTATTAGAAAGGAAATATAAAGAAAGGTTAAGAACCATAAAGATGTATCTATAGGCAGGTTGAGAATAGTGGATTAGATGTGTTAGCTGAAGTTATCTCAAGCTTTGATAATTGATCTTTGGACAAGAGCAAGAGACATAAGCTACACAAATAGAAAAGGAAACATAAAATAGGAAAACATAACATAAAGATAAACTTAACAAAGTCCCATGCTTGCACATCCTCGCAAGGCATCAAGCAAGGGACTTACGCCAAATGTGTATGGTCCATAACCTCAGAGATTTGGGTTTGGCAGGGAGCTTGCTTCAAGTCCTTATACCTTTTTCCACACCAAGGATTTGGAGATAGTCCAAAGGAAAAAGTTGAGCGCCTGCCTCTTACGCATAATGTACATATTTTTTTCCTGGAGGAAAGTGCTGCCCTCTTGCCTAAAATGTGCATCAAATATTGGCTCTTAACAGAGGATTACACATGTAACCTCTCTCTCAAGTCCAAATTTGCTGCTAAGACCCAATCTTTGAAGCACATTTTTGGCAA